TGAAGGAGGAGGTGCGCCGGGCGGTGGCCGATGGTTTGGTGTCGGAGATGGGCCGGTCGGCCTCGGGATCAATGTCATCGGGCGCCTCGCCGACCACCCTGCCCTCGCCCGGGAACCGCCTGTGCGCCGCCTTACCATCAGCCACCGCACACGACACGACACACACCGCACAGCACAGCACAGCACGACACGACACGACCAACGACACGCACGGGTACCCGGAATCGTAAAGGCCGTTGCCGTTGTGGGAGCCGACGACTTGGCCGTTGAGCACGACTGCGTTCTCGTCGTCGGGCTGGTAGTTGGCCGCGTAGCGATCGAACCGCCGCTCGCGCCGCACGCCCTCGAGCGCGCCCGCGCTCGCACCCGCGGCCAGCCCCAAAATGGCGCCCGCCACCATCCCAGCTGCCGGCCTGCCACGTCAGCTGACGACAACCTTAACAGAAGAGGGCGGGGGTGGTAGTACCGGGGGCGGTGATGGGGGCGAAGGGGAACACGGCAAGGCCGGCCAGCGAGCCGGCCATCATGCCCGCCATCATCCCGTTCACGGCGTGGCGCGTGGCCCCCTGCGAGGCGCTGCGCCGCTCCTCTGCAGTCAATCGCGCTGCCTGCAATTTCTTCTTCAGGCCCATGATGGCTGTGTTGTGTTTTTGCTGTTGTTTACTTGCAAGGAAGATGTAAGTTGCAAGTTGCAAGTCTTGGTGGTGTGGCAATGGCCACTATGGGCACACAAGGGCACACAGCTCGAGTCGACGGCCAACCAGAAGGCCAGACAAGTGCCCACAGAAATTCCGCGTAAAGCGCTGACCATTCTGTGGAAGAAAATGAATGTGGCCATCTTGTTGTTTTTGTGGGGCTTGCTGTCCAATGGGTGTCTTGTGTACCCTTCTGTGGAAAGGAGGACATACTAGTATAGCATCAGTACAGACCCTGCCTTGGTGGGGGCGGGCGCCTTCTTGAATGCTGCGGAGTGCGCGATCAAGGAGGCCACGCTCTTGCGCACCGCCCTGCAATGAACAACAGACACATGACAAGAACACGCAAGATAACAGTACCCGGTGTGAGTCGCGGCGAAGTGTGCGGCCTCGCTCTCGCCTTCGTCGCCGTTGTTGTTGTTGGGAGCCTGTGGAGCCTGTGGAGCGGGGGCTCGATCATCATGGCGGAGGTGCGCGTCGCCTTGCGTGCGCGGAAGTGTGTGCCCTGATCCACGTCTCGCACTGAGCACCACTCTGGACACGGTCTGGACAACTCAAATTGGTGGCATTTTTTGTCCAGACAATAAAGTGTGCAAGAAAAGAAATGTCTAGACAGGTGAAGGCCTGGGCAGCCAGGTTACAATGAGGTGGGGCTGGGCCTCATTGAGGACTCACCAGTGCATAATAGCTGTGAGGCTGAAAAGTGAACTGGGCCTCAATGAAGGCAGCCATGGTGCTGTCCAGGGGCAGGTCAGGCAGCTCACCACCCACAGATCTCCCTCAGCTGGCTGCAGTCCCCAAACCAAAAGTGAGCCTCCTCATCAGGGCTGGGATGCAGGGGACAAGGAGAAGGAGGAAGTGGGATGTGGTGGGAAGGTTGAGGGAGTGGAGGAGAGCAACACCACACCTTGCCTCCACACCAACAGGGTTGAATGGACAACTTTATTCCACACTGCAACACAAGATGTCTGCAATTGCAGACTGTGTCTGCAGCTGGTCTGCAATGCCTGGCACAGTTGGGGCACTGTGCTGGGCAGTCAACACATAAATGTGCAGGCACATGAACCACTGCTCCCACACCAGATGGAGAGTCTGGTGCAGGAGTGCCTCCATGGTGGGGAGACCAGTCATGGAACATGTGCTAGAGCAGGCACTGCAGGGTTTCATGGGTGTTGTTGGTGTAGACCACCAGTCTGCCCTGCTTGAGCAGTGCCACCATGTGCTTCTGGATGGTGTGGATGTAGTTGGTCTCCTGCCCATGTGCCACCATGTGCTTCTGGATGGTGTGGATGTAGTTGGTCTCCTGCCCATGTGCCACAAGAGGGAATGTCTGTTGAAAAGAAGTGACATTAGACAGGAGAGTGGTGTGGGTGTAGCAGGCAAAACCTGGAGGAGAAATGCAGCACCCTTGAGGTGCCAGCCTTGAAAGAGGGTGTTCAGCTACACAGCAACCACACATGGTGCACAACATATGGCACACAGCCACAAAACACACATACACAACACCACACCACACAATGTGCAGCAACACAGCATGCAGCCCCCACAGTAGTGAGCATGAGGATGGGGAAGTGGTTGTTTTGTACCTCAGCAACAACATTGTCTTCTGCATTCTTCATGCCTTGCATGCATTGGTGATCTGGTGGTGGACCTCATCTACCACTACATTGCAGCACAGCCAATCATAGTACCCACTGAGAGAGGGGATGGCTCTGAATGAATGGGCATGACATGGAGGCAGGTTGAATCTTGGGTGCATGGCCCACCACACAGCCACAGGTGGTAGAGGCAGCAGTACTCTGAGCTGCTGGGCCTGCATTGGAGGAAGTAGTGCAGCATTGGGTCATTGCAGGCTGATGGCCATCTTGAATGGAGCTTGGTTTCCCCCCATGCATTTGGCATTCTTTCCTACCTCCATCCAGCTGGTTGTTTTTTCAAACTAATCATACAAGAGGGCAACTAGGCCACTCCCTAGGGAGTGAGGGCTGAGTTGTCAGTCATGTGTTTAGCATTCCACTCCCTTGGGCGCAACCACCAGTAATTGATAAATTAGAGCTATTCCACCAATAGTACTTGCTTGTTGCCAGTTTTCATGGTGTTCTATTTCTCCACGGTGCTATGCATGTAAATGTTGAACACAATCTGTTGCACATTGAGCAATGGAGATGGTGCCAGTGGTGAGGTTCATGGGCAGTGCCTTCACTTGTTGTCAGCATCAGTGTCAGTGTTGGCATTGGTGTCAGCATGGGCTTTGGCATTGGTGTGGGGGTAGGTGTCAGCCACTGTGATAGACCTGTACCTTGCCTCATCTGCCCAAAGCACGCCACAAGTAGATCAATTAGAATAGAAGATTAGATAGGAATTGTACATTCACTCACAAGGATTGCTGATTCCACACACCCAAAGTCACATGATTTGTCTGTCAGGACACATCTAAGCCCCTGGTTGGTGTGTGGTGGGTCTTATGTAGGGTTTGTTGAATCACTGCAGCCTTTGCTGAGTGAACTTGAGAAGATGTAGTTGGTTATCTCCTCCAGTGGCCAGATGGTGGCAGCTTGGCCGTCTTCCACTTTGAAGGCTGGCAACTGACTTGACTTCAGTCTGCCAAAACCTATGCACTGTGCTGAGTGATGGAAGGAGGCGATCTACAGAGATGCTGGAGGAGAGGTGACTTGGAGGATGGTGTGGGTGGTGATGGTCCTGACCAAAATAGTGACCAGGTGCTGGTACTGTTTGAAGGAGAGGCCAGTTGAGCCACAACTGTAGCACCAAGGAGGGGCTGGGTGAGCTGCGCCAGCAGCTCTGCCACCATGCCACTGGCCAAGGGCTCCAAAAGCAAAAAAGCAAGTTAGACAAGCACAATCAGAACAATCAAGCAGATGTTGTGTACCTTGTGGCAGAGTGCATTGATTTGGTGAAGGAGTGCAGCTGGTTTGCTGCTGATGAAGATAGCTAGCACATGAGCAAGCTGCTCCATGCTGTGGTCATCACTGTCCCAGATGTGCACCAGGGACTCTGTGGTCTGGTGCACCTGTGACTCAAAGTCCAGCATTGTGTGTGTGTGTGTTGCTTGTAGATGATTTGTCTGAACCAGTCTGGTGGTGCACCAAAAGGGTCCATCTGCTGGATAACAGACAAAAATAGG